TTGCATTCAGTTTTTATTCACAATTTGTTTAGTGTCCCAACTTTTTTGGAATCCGGTTTGTTTGTATGTATATATAAATATATGTATAATCTAATTTTTAACATGGTGGATCAGTTGATAGAGCTGCTGCCTCTCAGCGAGCAAGTCGCTAGTTCAAATCCTGGTCGGGTGGAGTTTGCATGTTCTCTCTGTGCATGTGTGGGTTTTCTCCGGGTGCTCCAGTTTCCTCCCACAGATCAAAAACATGCATGTTAGGCTGATGGTAACTCTAAATTGTCTCTATGTGTCCCTGTCATGGACTGGAGACCTGTCCAGGTGTCCCCGTCATGGACTGGAGACCTGTCCAGGTGTCCCCGTCATGGACTGGAGACCTGTCCAGGTGTCCCCGTCATGGACTGGAGACCGGTCCAGGTGTCCCCGTCATGGACTGGAGACCGGTCCAGGTGTCCTCTCCTCTGACACAGTGACCCAAAAAGATCAAAGTGTGTAAATGGATGGATTTTTTAACATTTAATATGAAGTGTTTGAATCGCACCATGTGACAAACTGTCCTACGACTAAAAGAGATTATAAACTGTTAACGGCCTTATTCTTTTTGTTCGACCAGTGAAGTGTAGGAGTGAATGGTGAACTTTATTCACAGCTCGTTTCCTGCAGCAGCCCAACAACCTGCGTCATCACCAGCAATGATTCTTTACTGATTCACGACCTGTCCTCTGACGGACACTTTCCGCCCTGTCGTGAAACTGACGGACACTTTCCGCCCTGTCGTGAAACTGACGAGCTTCAGCAGGAACTAGACACTGATGGGAAACACGCGCGCGCACAGACACGCGCGTCATGTGACAACCATTTGACAGAAAGTCATCAGAAGATCATCTGATGATGATCATCAGATGATCTTCTGATGATGATCATCTGATGATCTTCTGATGATGATGATCATCTGATGACGGTTTTTAACAGACTGCTGACGAACTCCTGCGAATAAACAAGTTGTTACACATGTTCACGGAAAACGCACCTTTAGCTGCTGCTGAACGTGTCTCCGTAACGTGCCCGTGGAAGCAGAAGGTGGAGGCAAGTCCGTGTCGTGTCCCACGGTCACTCATTTCCACGCACGCGCCTGTTGAAGGCAGCTCTCCCAACAAGCTAACGTTAGCGCTAGCCCCGGCGTTAGCTCAAAAAGGATAAATATAATAAAAAAAAGCTCCGTGTTTTTTAACAAAGCACAAAAAATAACACCATGAAATGCGCCGCTTATCTCGCCACTTTTAATAATTTGTACAATCAACAAAAATACACTATTTTTAATCCTTTGGTCAGAACGGCTTTAGCGCCTCTGCCCTCAGCACTCACTTCCTGTATTGCTTCCTGCTAGCACGTGATTGGCTGAAATTAATCAGCCCAAGAGATTTGATTGGATAGTTTTCTGTGGGCGGTGCGCTATTGGCTGATTTGGTAACTCCAACCTGCGCTACGTTTTACGTAAGAAAACAGATTACAATACACATTTGCATCTGTACAAGTATGATTATAATATCATTAAAGTGACGTGTGTTACTGTGCCTATAAAAGGGCGACCTAAAATGTTTTTGCCAATTATAATTTAATTAAGAGATAATTTTAAGTGGCCTTCTTCCACTCGTTAATGACTGAGCTCTTGACAAGAAAACACTACACAGGAAAAGCTTTGATAAGTGAGCAATGAATCTTTCTCTGATTAGACATGATCTAATCACCTTTGACATTATTACTGGAATATCACAGTTGATTTTGAAAGCATCTGAGTGAAAACTTGGACCAGGCATCTCAAAGCACCGCAGCTCTTGGCACAAGATAAGCCCATCAACAAACTGGTTTAAAATGTGTTGTGGTAGTAGCAGAGAGTCCTCCTGAATGCACATTCTGAGCTTAATATCTCACGAGACTGCAGATTTTATTCTCAAGGCTCGACTAAAACAGCTATAACGTCATAATTTCACAACAAAAGATTTGTTTTCTAAGTGCAAATGTGATAAACAACACTTCATTTCTGAAGCAGAATCACTTTTTGTGACTAATACAGTTCAATAGTTGAATGCAACTGATATTTATTACTTTAATAACGTGAGTTGATCATTTTTAATCATATGTACAAAATGCCTCAAACCCTTTTCTTGGCCTCAGTTTCTGGTAAATTACAAAAACTTCCTGCTTCATTTCCTTAATGGGCCACAGACTGAAACACCAGCAGCTGTCAGCTTTACAGTCATTTTATACATCCATCATGATATTAGCCTTTAAACTTCAAAGATTTCCTGTGTCAGTAAAAATGTTCCAACCATAAAACAAGATAACTGTGTTTGCATCTGTCCATATTTATATTTTAAGGTAAACAAGTAGCTAAATCTAACAAAGCTCATTATAATACAGTGATCAACAATGATAACAGTAATTAGACAGATTGAGACATTAAACCATCATTTGTTGGTTTCTACGTCATGATTTGTAACAGCTGATGGTGTCAAATCTTAACTGACTACTTTTATTCTCATTCTTCTCGCTTACCTCACTCTTATTAAATAAGAATTTAAGAGCTTAACTTTATTTAGTGTGGTGTACTTATATTGTGCTGCCAAATTATGAAAGTTGACAGTTTTAAAGAGTTTTGTGAAGGAACCCTCTCCCGGTCCAGGTGCCAGAGTTTACACTACAAATAAATAGTTTAATAACTTCCGTAGGTCTGTTAATGAACTGAGGCTAATTCAAGTACAAACAGTCAACACAACAGAAAGTTTTGAACAAAACTTTATTCTACATCCTGCACTTCAGGTGTCTGTATCTGAGTCACATCTACCACAAATAAAAACTCAACCCAGTGGCTTGATCCGCTCTGAGCGAACAGAGATGAGGAATGTTTTCATATAACGTGTTCATTTCCTGCAGTTTAGAAGCAGTGCCATCAAACTGAACATTTCTTTTCTACAGTATGAAATAAAGTGCATATGTACCATTTACTCTGTTAAAAACAATGTTCAAACATACAACACTGACACCACTGAGTGGAAAATAAAAAGGCCTGCAGGTGGAAACAATATATGATTAGAGATGATCTGATGCCTTCAGTATTACAGCAAGGTATAAAAAACTGTCACAATTAATAAACAGCAGTATTTTTGCAAAGTCAGTATGTATTCCCCAAGATATAAATAACAGTCAAGTGACAAACACAAGAGAAAATAAAGCATTTTTCAAGTTTAATCACTGCAAATGTTTGTATCAGAACCATAAATGCATAATTAGTTAATAACAACCATGGTGCAGTAAAGAGTTCCGTACGTTGAACAGAAGTCACCGTGAACCACCAGAAGGCAGTCATGAGTTGAATATAAATCACACCGATTGCTGCATGAGCTCCATCATCGTGTTTAATGTTAATGAAAGATTAAGTGATAATATTGGAAAGGTCAGAGGTCTGATTTCAGCAGCGTACTGCAGCTCGTAGCCACTCGTGGTGGAGTTTTGCACAGACAAAGTTGTTCTGTCGGCTTCTTACAGCCAAACTGCGCTCTGGGCCTCAAATGGAAAGGAACAGATGAAGAGAGTCATTTAAACACCGAGGACACATGAAAGTGCGGTGCCGCCTAAACTGTTAAACTTTGAGTATTTCAAATTCTGCCTTGTTGTCAAATATACAATATATGCCGTCTGCTTTTTGCTGACGTGGAACCTGAACGGGTCAGAAGACGCTCACTGATGAGAGCGGAGCACCGTGAAGCAGCGGGACAATTTGGTGCATGAGCAAATCAGCAGTAAGTTGATTTACAAGAAGCTGGCGTGTGTCAACAGAGTCCATCGAAGGTGGCACCATGAGTAGAGAAAGTGTTATCAGGTAGTTGCCTGCGCATTCAACAGTCAAGACATTAGATGATGGTCAGCAGACAGGAGGATGTTAGCAGCACTTGAGAGGGGTCAGATCATTCACCGTCTGACATGTGGGGTGTACAGATGTTACAGTGGCCTGATGTTGGAACCAGTGGGCCCACGAGGACCACCACACACGCTATGAATGCTCCAGTCGCTCAAGGCAGACCCCACCCAGTGAGGATCATTGTGCTGTGCACCAAGCCTTACAGAACTCCATGGCATCCATACTGGGCCAGTACTGGGACCCTTTTGCCCCTTATCCACAGGTGCTACGTGGGCCAGCTTTAACATGCTCATGCCGGTTCCGTGTTTTATCCACAGTGCCTTCTACGGTGGAACCGGCCTGGTTTTACTACCTACTTCTCTGCGGTTCCAGTGAGTTCAAGTAGGACCTAAAACGTGACGTCAGCGCACTGTTGGTCACTGATTGGTCAGGGGGAGGAGTCACTGGACCTCAGAAACCTAAAAAAAAATTATACAGTATATAGCCCTGTGATGGACTTGCGACCCGTCCAGGGCCCCCGCCCCTCGCACAGTGATTGCTGGACATGGACACCGGTGACCCCCATGACCCAAAATGGAATAAGTGGGTAAAGATAATGTATGTATGTATGTATGTATATATATTTAATTCGATCATTTTAATAATCTGTATTGTTTTTAATTTACCAGAAACTTCCAATTAAATTCGCACTGAAACCTGTTTCAGCATCTCACCGCCACCAGCTGGTGAGAGGCGCGTGACCTCAATTTGAGCCCCGCCCACTGGAACCAGTACTGAAAGCATACAGGAGCACTGTGGATATGGAAAATGAAGCGGTCCTACCGGTACCGGCCTAATAAGGCCCAATTTTGCCCGACCCGACCAGGACCTGTGGTTTAGGGGCTTTAGTTATCCCACTCTGCATCTGATTTCATTAAAGCCAGAGATGCATCTGGCGCAGGGCCATAACGAGGAAGCACGGACTGATGACGAGTAATTTTGTTTCTGCGACATCCCAAATGAGCGCCACGTTTGAACCTAGTGGAGAGGACCAATCAGAGCAAGGTCGCAGAGAAACACACCGACACTCTTCATGGCATCACGGGCTGGAGGGACACAGGGGCGCACTTCAGGTCGCCTCTGGAAGGACTCTGAGGGACCCGGATTGTGCATTGCTGTGTCCTTGGCATGTGCACGTCTTACCCCTCTTCAGACAACACCGTGGTGCAGCCTTTCAATAAGGCAATTATCATCTATACATGTCGATACCACGAGAGCAGCAGTCTGTGCTGACAACGCTGAGGTCCAGTCCAGTAAAGCCCCAGGACCAGTCCCAGGACCAGTAAAGTCCCAGGACCAGTTCCAGGACCAGTCCCAGGACCAGTAAAGTCCCAGGACCAGTCCCAGGACCAGTCCCAGGTGTCAGCGAGGCTGAACCACAAGTCAGAACCGGCTAATGTAACAACTATTCTGGACTGAATTAATTTAATCCACTTTCTGGGCGTGTCGTTTTCCACAAAGCCTAAATGATGTGATGTGAACAAGAGGAGAATATTTTCTCTGAAGGACGATGGACAAAGAGATTATAGAGTCCAGAGAGTCGGTGCTGCTGATTCTTGTTCCTCTGAGTTTGAAGGCAGCTGAGCCAACAGTGGTTTAGATCAAACCATGGATATACTTTTTAAACGAACTCAGTTCAGAGTAAAATATGTCTGTATGCATCAAGTTGAGTTCAGCTGTGAAGCCCTTTTAACAGTTCGTGCTACATCAGAGAGTTTTCATGTTGCGTCTGAAACAACCCTCACTTTCACCGTTTGTGTGCAACAATCCTGCAGCCGCCACTCACTCCGCGCTGCAGATCATCTTTAATGAGCGAAACACACACACCAGACTCACACACACACGTCGCGTCCTGCTTCACGGACAACAAAACGTGCACGGACTTCAAATGAACAATTTTAAGTGTGTGTGTGTGTCTTCATGACATGTGTGTGTCTCTTCATGACATGTGTGTGTCTCTTC